AAATTGATTATCGTATAACACAATTAGTAAGTCAACCTGAATGTCAAGATGAATTATATAAAGATAATAATCGTCAATCAATGATATCATCAACATTATCACTTGATGAACAACAAAATAAAAATATTCATTCAAATTTATCAATATATCGATTACATCCAGGTAATTATTCAACAATATTTTATTATCTTGATTTTCAATCAATACGTGGTTTACTTATTGCACCATATTTTACACTTGATAAATTAATACAAACAACATTAATTGATCGTCTTTTATTTGAAACAATTCAACAAACATGTATTTATATACGACGAAAACATTTTTCAAGACAATTAAAATTAAATTTAAAAAATATATTTAGTACAAAAATTCGTTCAAAATATTATGAAATTGGTTATCAATTTTCTTTACAAATTGATACAGATAATAAGAAAAAAAAAAAAGATAAAAATTTATTTAATTTTTGGATTGTAGGAAAAAAATGTTTACAACCAATTGAACATGAATTTTTTGTTTGTTATCATGATTCAATAGCACAAAATATAACTGAATTAGCATTTACTATTGGAATGTCATCAATATAAATCTAATTGTGATTGTGTTTTTTCTTTTTTTGTTTATTTCTAGGAATTCTAAATAAAGATTTTAGATGGTAGATAAAAAGAGAATAGATGTTCTCAAATATTGACAATATTTATCAACAATTGATAATTGTTCGTCGTCTTTTTTTTTCTTTCAATTCGAATTATTTCAACTGAGAATGAACAATTTTTTCTATTGCATAGTTAATGAACATCGTTTTCTTGCTTCATGCCAGTTCTTTTTTCTTAATCCTTTCACGGCAATGGGACCTATCGGTAGGTCCCACTATATTTTAACCGGAAACTTAATAGAAAAATACTTTCTTTTTCTTTTTTTCTTACGCATGAGATTACACATAATGGAACCGGGATCCGGACAGTTGCGCGCGGACACTTGCTCGCTAGGACAGTTGCTCGCTATAGGATCCTATGTAACTGTTATAGCGAGCAAGTGTCCGCGCGCAACTGTCCTAAACCCAATAAACCATTTGCTCTATTTTCGCTATCGTTTGAATCATTTATTACATAGCCTGGTGTAGGGATGTACCGAGACCGAGCCTCTCGGTCTCAGTTAGCCTTGGTCTCGGTGTTAATGAATATTGGCCTTGAGTACAATTAACTTGTTATTCGTTCTTTATCCTAGGTAAGCATTATATTCACTCTCGGTCGAAATTATTATTTTTTCAGTTTTTCGACCGAGACTCTCGGTTCGGTCTCGGTACATCCATAGCCCGATGTTTCTCGTTAAAACAATCAAGACAAAAACAATTTTCATAATCAGAACAGAAGGTTTTTATTTTCTTTGCTGTCGCATGGCTAGCTCCTCTTGATTGTTGTTGCCTGATTTTCTCATAGTAATCAGCACAGCGTCTTCGAATATTCTGTGCAGATCCTTCCATTTCATCGAGCTTGTGATCCGTGAGTTTACGCTAGACTTTCACGAAACTATAGCATCGTCATACGGCTTTTCTTTGTAAATCAAATAAGCATTTACTATTGACATTTCAAATATCATCTCAAATACCACCTTTTGATACGACTTTTTGGACCGTATGAGGCATGTTATAGTATGTTGATAACTGATCAGATAAATCTATACCTTGTTTTCCTTTATTGACTCACACTCTCATCCTTCATGCAAATGAAAAGAAAGAATGAAAGATAATACTACGAAAAGAATGTAAAAGAAAAAATTAAAATTTCACTTCTTTATTTCGTTGTTATTGTACAAATACGTGTAGTACAGAAAAAGACAGACTCGAGTAACTATTTAGTTCTATGTGATAAAAAGATCTACCATGCGATGATACAAACAACAGAAAGAAAAACAAATAGTTGCACATATTGAAAATATCAATGAGCGCATTTATCGAGCGTAGACACGAATATATGAAAAACTATTTTCCTCGGAAAACCGATATCGCTGTGAAAGGGTTAATATTGCTATCTATTACTACAAGTCAATTTATAAATGTTTTATCTACGGTAAAACTTCTCTATCATGAATGAAAATACTTTTGCAGGAGAGTATCTCATATGTCATTATGTAGTTCAGAGATAATTTTCTTATGATGTTTATTTTATTATCATTTCTAGTTTACTTTAAATTTTAAAAAACTCGACATATTTTCATCTTCAAAATATCTCAAAGAATAATAGAATTCAAAAAACAGTAAGAGATGATATATTTGTAGTTTTCTCAATAAATTTCTTGATAGCAACGGCTTAAGTTTCAGGACATACTGAGAAATAAAATGTATATCTATGATATAAATATGAAACCAAACAATTAATGAATATGATGTTTATTTGACCTACAAAGATTTCCAATTTTTTTTTTGTTTCATAATTCATGAAAGGCGACTATTTTCTATTGAAATCAACGGTAACATTTCAAAAGACTTTTCTATCGTGAATTTAAATATCGATAACATGACTCATTTGGATTGCTTTATATATGTATTTACAAAAGATAAAGTGAAAAACTACATCTTTCAGTGAACTCTTTTTGCTTTTATTCTAATTCTATTCGTACATGATACATTTTAATGAAAGTAAATATAACCATTTGAATAATGAACAATATTCATTATATAGAACTTTCTATTATTATCATGATATGAATATGAAAACAACAAAAAAAAAAAAGACAAGCCGCAGAAAAAACCAAACAAAAAAATAAGATGACAAGGACAAGTAAGCTATGATGAATATCAGCTTGTTACAGGTCAAGAAAATCTATAAAAAATTTGGTCTGTCTATATTGCCAGTATACATGACCTTTGCTAAAAACAAAAAACACATTTCTCTTATTTAGACTAGAACTTTAATCGAGTGTTAATCTCAATTTCTGGCTTCTTCTTTTTTTTTTTTTGTATAAATTATGGATGCTGCAGAAAAATTTACAGATACTAATTATCTGATTGTATGTTATATTGGAATTGTGTGAGATGATAACTATCTTATGATAGAATGGATTATGATCTTAATTAGGATTTAAATACTATATTGACTATTATGATTGTTATCTTTGATTTATGAAATGTCTGTACATTTAATCTATCTTAATAAATCAATTGACTCATTCATTTGATTATTGTTTGTCGTTTTTTTTTTCTTTTGCTTGTTTGCAATTGATAATCAATAGAAATGATTGATACTATTTAAAAATCCATTCGATTATTGAAATTATTCATGGAAAATTTTATTAAGATATAAACAAAAATAAAAAAAAACATATGTTTAAAAATTTCTTTCTAATAAAACATAGTTCATTTTGATTAACTTCTATTTATATCAATAATATTAAAACTATAAATGAATTTCTATATAGAAGTTTAACATTATTTGTATTGTCATTATAATAGATAGTCAATGATAAGAGACGTTTTTAGAAGCAATTGTTATTCTATTTGTTTATTATTATGGGCTAATGTCAATGACGACAGTTTTTTATCGATGAAAATGACCTAAATTTTCTTATTTGTGACAATATAAGAGAATAAATTTGAGTATAATCAATTATTTCTTAATATATTAATAAATTTACTATCATAACTTGTCATTTATTATTATAGATTTTTTATAAATATATATATATTTTCCATTAAATATTCTGAATAAAATAATATATGATTGATTTATATGTTAATAATTTTTTGATGTAATTTTAACTATTAGAATATTTCTATATTAACGCCTTCATTATTCTTGATGAGTAATAAATTCTGTCCTTTTACTTCTTCTTCTTCTTTGTTGTCTTACTGTGCTTTCTATTTAGACGATATATTGTATTTCATGATATTCATCTTTTGCAATACGAGCAGAAACAACTATCGAATACCATCATCGTCTATCTAGATTATATATATATGTATGCAGTGAGCAATTTCATTATGTCGTCATTGTCTAAAGCCGATTTGTTATTATTGGATATGGACAAGAATATATGCACATATAAGCAAGATTTGTCTTCTTTGTCGTTGGTTTTGTTGATTAGGATTCAAAATGTTTTTTTTTTGTCTTGTATAGCAAATATACACATACACACGCGCAATTAGACTACTGTTATTATTGTTGATATTGCCGACAGTAACGATAACGACAAATCTCAAAGGAATGACAGTAACATAGGATCTATCTTTAATAGTTTTTTTTTCTTCTGGTTTACAAGTATCATCGCAATAGAGAGAACGAACAAAAAGAAAAGAAAAGAATTACAAAATACATTTATATATATATTTTTTTTTCTGTTTCTGCCTCTCTCTCTTGTTTTCTTTTTTTGTCTTATATACAATTGATAGACGAATCTTTTGTCTGTATGTAGATGTATATATATATTTGAAGAATTTCTCTTATGATACAAAAACCTTGAGTCACTGTATCGTTCGTCTATGATATTAAAGAATAACACAGTAACCCTCTCTAGTTTTTTTTTTGTAGAAGTTTTTTGTTTTTTCAGTGTTGACGAGTAAATATATTACTTGGACTTTCTCTCTTCTATACATACATACAGACAACCTACGCTTAGCACTATTATAATAATCATCGCACATACCAATGCTAACAGCCGTAGAAATATATAGTAGTTGTGATAGTGTTGTCCATAGGAAATAAGCACAGCTAGACAGAATAGCAGACCTAGTTTGTATATAAATAAACAAAACGCACATATGGGTCAGAGCTAAGCAAGTATACATTAAGAGTATTTGAACTATTGTTATATACGAAACATTATTGTCAAAACAAATACAAAAAGCCCCCGAAGGACAAGTATCACTATTAGACATGTAATTCAATCCAATACAGATGATTATAACAAAAAAGAAAAAAGAGAATAAATTTGTCTAAGAAATTGATTTGTTTCTTTTTCACCTTTAGTAATTTGTTTTTTTTTTAATATTTTATTTTCCTTAGATGTCTCGTTCTACATTCCTGACGACAACACCGTCGTCATTTGACGCAAGTGAGACGCCATCTCATCCTACAACAACAACAACAAATGCAAATCCAGATCGTACAACGACTCTTCGTTTTCATCATCGTTTAATGCCAACAATTGCAACAAGTAATCGATCAAATGAAACATTACCTATTGTTGTTGTTCAATCATCACCAACATCATCTGATTTATTAACACCATCATCAACAACAACAAATAATATTCAACATAAATCTGTTGTACGTCTCAATCCAAAAATGAAAAGACATTTAAGAGATAAACGTCGATCAACTGGTATTCGACCAGATGAGGTGTCATTAGCAAATACAACTAATGATGTAAGTTATATATATATATATATAATATTATAACAATAAATCATACATATTTTTTTTTCTATGATTTTCTAGATACTTTATGATGAGGATGATGAAGAGGAGGACAAATCAAGTACATGCAATCAATTTCTCACAATCACTAGTAATGAACCCAGTGAATCTTTCGATCATAATCGAACAGTATACAAAAACAAAAGTTTATTAAATATATTATTAGAAATCTTTGTTTGTTTTTTTTTAGAGTCCTCCAAAACCGGTGTTTAAAGTTAGTCGAGTGCAGTAAGTAGATATTATCAAAATTTTTAAAAAAAGCGATCCTGGTCAATGATTTCAGCACCCAAATCCATAGATTTTCGGCTAAAAGATGTTAAGAACTTAGAAGCAGAAATCCGGTTCCAAGTGGAACCGGATAAAATATGATCGTTGGATTTCTACTTCCAAGTTCCTATCATTATTCGGAGCTTTCTGACCGAAATCGATTATATCTTATTCATCTAAGAAAGAATCAATCTTATTATATATATCTATTAGACCAACATTCGACGAAAATTCTCGTCATGCATTTGAAAAATTAACAATCAATCGTACAGGTTAATAATATTTTAAGACAAGAAAAATTCATTTTGTTTTTTTTTTTTTTTTTTTGTTAGATCCTTTTGTAATGACATCATCACCATCACCATCACCATCACCATCAAATATATTTTCTAATACACAAACAGTAATGTTTCGACCTGAAGAATTTATTCTACGTCGGGTAATTTGTAAAACATAATTATTTATTTTTATTATTCTTATTGATTAGCAACCATCCGATGAAGATCCTTCAACAAAAATACGTCGACAATTTGAAGAACGTATTTGTACACTTGAATCACTTGTCCGTGATAAAGATTCAATTATTCTTGATTTACAACGTCAACTTGATAAAACTACAAGAGTATGTTTTTTTTTGTTTCTTATTGAAAAATAATTTGTTTTTTTTTTTTTTAATTAGGATTTAAATGATGCCGAACAACAAATATATATTTTACAAAGAGATAAATTAACATTAATAAAAACTTTAACAACATTACAAGATACAAAATCTTCATCAGGAACAGTTGGCGGAGGAGGAGGAACTGGAGCAACAACAGGAGGAGACATTCGAACATCACCAAAACGAACTGGTTTTATAACAAGAAATTAAAACAATTTTTATTTGTAGTTTCTTTTTCTTTTTTTGTTTGTTCTTGTATAAATATGAATATATAATTATTTAATTTTCTTTAGAAAATGAATGTCATTCTAAGTGACAGAAATTATGCAGAATATGTAAACATTCTCTGTCATTCGAAGGAAAGAAAAAAATAACCAAAGATATTAACACTCGTTAGATGATCAGTTATCGTTAAGAATGTTGCTTAAGAACGTTATTATCCTTCTTATTTTTGTACCTTTTCGTAAGTGTAAAAAAAAACATACGTGTATCGCCTTCTTCTTTTTTTTTTTGTTGTTTTTTGTTTATATCTAATTAATAAAATGAATAAATAGGTATTTTTTCAACGAATAATCTTTGTCGATTAATTGAATTTAATATACCACAAGGTTTATTAACATTTCATATGAATGATATAGAAGAAAAATTATTTTATAAAACTGATTATATTTGTCAAAATAAACCAATATTTCATTCAATTAAATATGAAAATTTATATCAATTTCAATCACCAAATAATCGTTGGTGGACATTATATGATACAAAAAATTCAACATATAAATTAGGTATGTATGAATGGTGTAATGCATGGAATGCTAAACCTTTACTTACAATGCAACTTGGTATGTTTCAACATCCACTTGGAAAACAAATTAAATTTCAACGATGGAAACATGTTATTGTTCATGAGAAAAATAATAGTTATACATATAAATCTGTATCAAGTAAGAAATCATATATATATATTAAATTTTAAATTATTTCATTTTTTAATAAACATTTAATTAATCTATTCTCGTCTTTCGGCTCATAAAAGAATTGTTTTGCAAATCAAAATTTTGAAGACAAACTTTCATTCACTTGATTTTCTAAGAGAACTTTAACATGAACTATGGTAATTAACGATGAAGAATTGAAGAAAAAATTTTTGTGCAATTCTATTAGTTGTCGTCATCTTAGGAACTTATGTATAATTTAGAAACATAAGAAAAATATATTTCAATTATATTTGAAGAATGTATTAAGTAATTGTCAGATGTCTTTTTCTTTTTTTTTTCATTTAGAAATTTATTAATAGTTTTGTCAAAAATAATAAGAATTTACATAAGTATTATTTCTGCACTGTATAATCTCAAAACAGAAAAAAAGGCCAACAGATATGATATAAAAACATGTCTCTTCTATTTGTCAGTCTCTGAACAGCTGTCTTTCATTAATGTATATTTGTACACATTTTTTGGCTCAAGACAAAAAACTCGTTTGTTCGTTAATAGAAAACATGAAGAACAAACAAAATCAGATATACTAAAGAAATGACAACTAAACAGCGATGAGCTTATCTATTTGATGGTTTACATTACTATTTTTGGCTCGGTCAAATAGAATTGACTTCTATTATATTTAGAAGATCATTAAGTTGAAACTGGTCTTCTCTATTCTGTAGGGAAAAAAAAACGAGTATATTATGCGAGAGACAACTGCTAATAATACTTATTGACATATTAATTAGAAATGAATCCAATCGAATATAGTGATATTTTGTAAGAGTAATACATAACTCTATTGAATAGAATATATGAAGTTTCGAAACAAACTTTTTCCTATTAAAAGTTAGATACGAACAAGACCAACGATTAGTTTTTGATCTTTGTCTTGATTAAAATTAGTTTCTCTTTCAGTTTTCAACTTCATAAATTTAAGAAAAAAAAAGAAAATTTACCATTGTCTATAAATGAACAATATCATATTAAACTTGTTAAAATCATATTTTTCACTGAACTGCATTTTTTTTTGTAATATTAAAATTATTATAAACTATTCTTAATAGATAATACAATTCTATATTGATCTTACTAATAAAAATTTTATTATAAAATATTATAATTTACTTAATTTATGAAATTATTTTGAAATAACTTTTAATATGAGAATTAATCAAATGTATTAAATAGTAAGTTGTCATGACGACTATTTTCTTCAGATCGTCTCAGATACACCTCAAAAATATAACAGATTGAAGTCTTTTGTCTATAACACAGAAAAAGACATGTGAAAACTTTATTTATTAATAAAAGCATAGATATTAACACTTCAAAACAATAGAATAACAGTGAAATATCAAAAAAAAGTAATGATAAGAGTTGTACAGAGTTAATTCTTAGTTTCGACTATCAATACTAGACACCGGAAATAAATTCGATCTATTAAAAGTCATGGTCGAGATTAGGGTCGACAAGCTCAGCTCAGAGAAACTGTTCGAACAGCTCTTTTGAGCTGAGCTGAACTGGTGAACCGGTTTCTTTGAGCTGTGTTCCCAAAACAGAACTCTTTTGTTCTGTTATGGGAATTATTTCCCAAAAACAGAACAATTTTGTTCTGTTATAGGGATCATTTACCAAAAACAGAACAATTTTGTTCTTTTATGGGAATTATTTTCCGAAAGCGGAACAAAAGTGTTCTGTTTTGGGAACACAGCTCACAGCTCAAACAAGCCGGTTCACCAGTTCAGCTCAGCTCAAAAGAGCTGCTTGAACGGTAAGTATGCTCTTCGCCGAAAACAAGATCGTCGAAAACTCACATCGCCGACTCGACGTGGAAATTCACCGTAAATTTCCACGTCGAGTCGGCGATGTGAGTTTTCGACAATCTTGTTTTCGGCGAAGAGCATTACATTCGTTTGAACAGTTTCTCTGAGCGGAACTGACGTGAGCTGAGCTTGTCGACCCCTAGTCGAGATCAGACAGACTTGATCACACTAAACTTTCTACTTATGATATTATAATCAATCGAAATAATTCGATAATAAAATATATATTTTTATTTTGATATAGATGTTTCTATAAAATGTTATTATCCTTCATCAAATTCACTTTGTCAAACACATCACTTAACATTTCTATTTGATTTAACTGAAACTACAAATACAAATGAATTTAATGAAATGAAATTATTAACAAAAACTTTAATTTGGTTATTATATAATCAAACAAATATTTCACTTAGTTATTATAGTGATAGATTACATATATTAAATTCATTTAATGATAAAACATCAATAAAAAGTCTTGAACATTTATATGATTTAATTGATACAATTAATAAATATAATAATAATTTAAAACAATTTTCTATTCAATGGCCTAATATTATACATAATATTGTTACAAAAATTTATAAACGTAGATTTTTATTACCATCTAATATAATTAATTCAACAAATCAATATCATTCTATAATAAATGATTCAATTGATAATGAAATTTATACTGAACCATATCCATTAATTTATTTTGATGAACATGCAATTAAAACTATTCTTAATATAACAACATATTTATATAGAAAAAAACGTTCAATTAATAATATTTATAATAAATTAAATAATATACTTGTTATATTAACATCACGTTCAAAATATCTTTATGATTATAAACAACAAGATAAACAATTAGAAAATTTTATTTCATCTGTACCATTAAGAATACTTATTATTGATTTTAATAAAATATCAAATAAATATATAGCTGAACATATTCATTCAGCATTTATACATTATGCTAAATATGCATTAGTATCATATCCTATAACATATAATTATATTGAAACATATGAAAAATTTCATAATATTATTAATAATAATCAATTATTTAATTATTATCATCGATTATGTTATCCACCTGAAGATATTTTATTTAAAAATAATTTTACAACAAATTTAATTGAAATATATGATAATTCAACAATAGATTGTTTACTTTTAACTTTATTTAATAATGAAAATAATAATTTAACATTAAATAATAAATTTGATTATACATTTTATCAAACATCAGATAATTGTTTTTCTCAACCTGTTTATCGTTCATTAGGTGATAGAAATTTATATATACAAAAAATATCAAATGGTCATTGGATTATTTTTCATGTTGATTCACTTTTACCATCAATAATTAGTATTCGACAAAAATTTTCATCAACAACAACAAGTACTTTAGAACGTAAGTTTAATTAAAGTAGATCTATTGAATTGTATGAATTTTCTTACAACACTCAGCAATTACTTGAAAGTTTTTTTTTTATAACAAAGATAATCAATCAACTCTAGCATTTCAATAGAAATCAACAATATCATGCTTTTTTTACATAAAATTTTTAACAATTATCCGAACGTTCTGGTATAGCAGAAGCATCACAAGAGATAACAATACATTTGATATAATCTCTTATGGTTGTAATTGAAAAAAGAATCGAAATTCATGTGTACATTTTTTTTAGAATTTCATAATACTATGAAAAATTCATTTTTATTTCTAGCTGAATTTTTCTATGCTACTGATTATGCAAATGGTCCAATAATTGATGATTATAATAATGAAACAACATTGATTGATTTACCTATGAGTATTCCACATTGTTCTGATACTCCTGGTATAGATATATTATGGGAAAGTATTGATAATGAAATTCTTAATGATAATTCCTTACATAGTCCACATCAATGGATATCAAAAACAAATAAAACAAATTTAATTTCACCAATTTGTAATAAATATAAAATATCATGTCATACAATAAAATTTGATTTATTAATAATTATTGATTCTCAATATGAATATTTATCATTAATAAAAACATTTCTTAATATATTTTTTACATTAATTGAATCATATTATCATCGTATAAGTCTTATTATATTAACATCATCAACATTAAATACATTTCAATATCATTTACCATTAACATTATTTAATACAATTAATAATAGAATAATTGAAAATTTTTTATCATATATTGATGAAAAAAATATTTCAATAATAGAATTAAATCAACATTTAGAACATATTAGTAATTATTTAATAAAAAATCAAGAATTTATATTAAATTTATCTACACAACAAATTATATTAACAATACCATCAAGATTAAATTTTAATCAAACTCATATAAAAGAAATAATTCAACGTTATTCAACTATTCGATATATGGTACTTGATCCATATTTAAAAACTGATGATGATGATGAATATAATAATCAAGAACGAGAAAATTTTCTTTTATCATTAACATCATCACCTTCATATATAAATTTATTTTCATCTTATGCTGCTTATAGAGATTTAACATTTCATACTATATTTCGTTTATTAGAAAGTTTATGTGGATATATTGAATAAACAAAAACAATCAACTATATATATATATATTTAACCTCGAACATAATGTGGAATACCATCAATAACAAAAATTATTTTTGTTTTTGGAATTTTTGTAGTTTCAGTATCGTTTTTTGTCAAAACTAAAAAATAAATTTAATTAAAATAAAAAAAAAAAATTTCTTTTTTTTTTTTACATACATTCAACTTTAGATACAATAAAATGCCATATTTGATCATCATACTCAAGTTGATACTAAAAAAAAAACAATGTTCGAAATGCAATTGTGATTAACATTTGATGACTCTAGTTAGTTCAAAAATATATAACATTTTGATTTACAGTGAACTAGAGTATTATATAAATAGATTTTAGAATCAAAGAAAAATATCTATTTGAGAAAAAGTTGGGTGTGGGTGTAAATGATAAAAATTTGATTTTTATTTAAGAACATTTTGAATAAATTTAACAGACGAAGATATCAATTGTAGTATTACGATGAAAAGAAAAATGATATTCAGTTACTTGAATTAAAAAAAAAAAAAAAAGAAATCGAGGTTAAGAAGTCTGTTTTGAGGTCAGAATACAAATTTTCTTTCTCAAAAGAATTTCGAAATACTAATATATATATATATCAAATTTCTTCGTAAATCTATTGATATTTGAAATTATAAATATTTATCATTAAGTGTCTATTAATTCGAGTTTGAATTTCAATAATTATCAACTAAACTTTTTTTTTTAAAGTTTTCATTAAAATTTATCAAAAAGTCTTTTGTTTTTTTCTAGACTAACCTTAATGACTCTCTAATAGATATTATCAAATATCAATTAATCATCCTAAGTGTCATATATATATATAGGATACTATATCATTTTAATACTTCTTTATGAAAGGTTGAAAGATTATCCTGTTTATATTGTGTCTAACCTCATAAAGAGAATAACTATAACATCTAAACTTAATAATTAATCTTTAATGAACCTAAAAAAAAAATATTTTGAAATATTTAAAATTATAATCTTATTACTTGATGTCCAATATTACATTGAAATATACCATTAAAATAGATAATAAATTTTTCTGCTAAATTTTTTAATTTTTCTTCTTCAATATAACTACCAATTTTATTTCGAAAATTATTTATTCTATAATAGAAATAAAAAAATTATTAATTTCAAAATAAATAAATCAATTTCAATAATTTACTTTTGTGTATTAACATTTAACCAAAGTTCTGTAATAGATGATGGTTTATTTGAATTTCTAGAAATAGAATAAATAAATTTTTTTTTTTTTTTATAAATTAATATTAACTGAATTTGAATATATTCTTTTGAATATTCTAATAGAGAAGTAAATGTTTTTGTACGATATAAATTATTTGTATAAAATGATTCAGCTAATGCTTTTACTGATATAATTTCTTCGTTATTATTCATAGAAATAATTTTTTCAGGTGCTGAATAACGTTGTAATACTAATAATAATATAAATTCAAAATATAATAAATAAATCAATTGTATATTTACTTGCTGATTGTTCTGTAAGTATATTTTGACTAACCCAACGACGTATACCACGTAAACGTCGAAACCATGATAAAGAATAAATATCTTGATAACAAAAAAAATACATATTTCATGAAACAAAAAATAAGAATACCATTGAAATATACTTACTATGATCATTCATATTTATTTTTATCATTTGTTCTTGTAATTGATTAACTAGAAAAAGATTTAATGATATATTTTCGTTTTCTATGAATTAAACATACGAAAATAACTATCAAGATAATTAATAATATATTGAATTTGTTCTTCAAATGATATATTATTATTTTCATTAAATAAATCATTTAAATAATTTTTAAATATATAATTATATTCTATTGTATCAATAGTCCATTTATTTTGATTAAGATCATAAGATAACATTAATGTTGATGATAAAATATCTATTCTATGATAAAAAAGATAATATATTCTTGTTGAATTATCATATCGAATAGAAATTTTTCTAGTTTTATATATTTCTTGATCATGTAAAGCTAACATTATACTATTACAACAAATGATTTTTATCTTTTTTTTTGGAATAAAATGTATCTTCTAATACAAACACGTAGTAACATTATTTTGTTTATATTACATGTCAACAGATAAGAAAGATAAAAAATTTGGAATTTAGTAACCATTACTTCAATAAGTGCAATAGAATGCTTACAAGTATTCGAATATAGTATCAAACAGATTTTCTTTTTCAAAAAATTTTTTGTGTTTTTTTAGTAATGTTATATAAATAAATTGATTTAATAATCAAAGAAAAGTTTTAAAAAAAATGTAATGTTCATAAAAAAATCCTAATCTATGTTTAATAATAAATTGTAGACTTTGAAATATTATTAGAAGTTCTTATATTATATGTTTTTTTTATACAATTATCAATTCTTATGTTTGTATTCGATTGAAATATGATAATTTTATTAATAATTATACTTTTGAATATAATTTTTTTTTATTAATCAATCAATTATCTACGAAAAAAATATTGTGTTTCATCAGATTTTACATTGAAATAGGCTTAGTCTTGCTTTTGACATTATATTGAACATAATGACATGTTCTATATAGAGAAATACTAATATTAGAATTCCCTTAGGTGATAGAATGAAGAGACAATCCTCTTTGTAATATAATAGTATTATATTCGCAAGGGAGTATTTTTCTTGATGGATATTTTGAATATGACATAGAAGTAAGCTGTTCTAATTGAACTCTTTTAATATGTCGCTGTGTATTTTTCGTTACATATATTCATATGTCCATTTTAATAATTCGATGGTATGAATATGTAAGATAGAATTTTAGATTCTAAATTATATTTTTCATTATAAAGCGATTATGAAAGAAAATTTTAGTTATAATGGTAAAATAATAATGATTATATGTTGCTACATTCTAATTTTCATCTATTAATTATTATTTATTAACATAAAATTTTCTAAAAATGTGTATAATGAGTCTTAATAATATGTCATTACTAACATATTAGTTTATAATTGATTTAGTCACAATATTCGTCTGGATATTTTCCAAGAAATTTTATCTGTCTACTGCACTTAGATAATTAAAAAAAAAGAAATAACGAGTACTTAAATAGAATAAAAGATGAAAAAAAAAAGCATTAATTTGATATTTTAGTTTTTCTTTTTATTATTCATAGTTAATTTATTTCGGAATTGAGTTCGACATTGAGAAATGTTTACATATTCTATATTTAAATAAATATTGAATTAAAATTTTTTGTTTTTTTTATTTCTTTTTTTGTCTATTGATTTAAAAAATGTGAAAATGAAACTTGAATTATTTATTTATTTTTTTTGCCTTTTGCTTTTTTTTTCCTAATACTTAATATGAAGTACTCTTGAAATATACTTTTCTTCTTCGTCTTCGACTTTTTTTCTTTTTGTATCTAAAAAGAAAATATTATTTTTTTTTGTTCTTATTCTAAATAATTATATCCTATAGTTTTTGTATTTCTTTACTTCATTTTAAGTATCTAATTATTATTCTATTATAGATAAATGAAATAGAATAGTCTATTTTTCTAAGATTATTTGTACTATATAATCTTTTGATATAACTTGTTAATTATGTTATATATATTGACATTAACAAGTATTTTAATGTTATGATGATAAAATGAAAAATCATATGATTGTATAATGAGATACTTTATGTTAAAAAATAATTGAATGAATATAATTATTAAAAAAAAAAAAAATTTTAATTTTTATTGAATTAATAATTCTTTACTAAGGCAATCAGTTATATAGGTCGACAAGGTCATCATGCTCTACACCCGTCAAAACAGCATTAAAAAAAATATTTCATTGTTGATATACGTATAGATTTGTCAACACATATTAAATTCCGATGATGACAAGCGCATTTTTTTCTATTATATTTGATATTTAATTAAAAACGTCAATATTTTGCTTGTCATCGTTGATAAAATAAGCAATTAAAAATATAAGAATATACCTTTCAACAAAATCATGTCACAACTAATGAGTCTTTCAAAACCAAAAACAAAAAGGAAAAAAATAACGACAACAACTTGTTATCTCTCATATCTTTTTTTATTTTATTTTATTTTATTTCACATATTGTTTTCTTTCACTGATAAATTGATATAAGAGATTGAATATGTCACAAATCATTTTCAAATAAAAAAAAAAAAGAAAGGAAAACAAACAAACAAGCAAACGATTTCTAGTAATAAACTTTGCAAGAAAAGAACAAAAAAAAACAAATCTAGATTAAACCAACCTTACAAACAACAGTGAATAACAGCAAACAAGCAAACAACAATATTTAAAAACAAAACAAAACAAAAATAAATTACGTATCACAGATTAACGAGATTCTGTCATAAAACTCTCATTATAGGAAAAAGAAAAATAACGTATATATACGTATTCTTTTATTGTCTCGTTAGTTTTTTTTTCTCTCTCTCACAAGTTTCAATTATTTCCATTTTGCTTTTTTTTGGTTGACATATATATTCACGAACAAAAAACTCGAATACAAAGAGAATCTAACAAAGGAAAAAAATAATAAAAACCAAAACAAAAGAAAAAACGAAATCACAGGCAAATAGAAAATATTAATAATTCGCAAATATTTTCTTTTCTTTAAAAATAAAAATAAAACAACATACGAATCATGATGCGTATAATAGCACCACTTAAATTAATGAAAACTATTTATATTCATTTACAATAATCAATGATGTTATAGATATAATTACTGTTGAGCAAAAAATTTTTTTCTATGTCAATATTATTTATATGTTTCTGTTCGTTGAAAACCACCGATCCGACCATCTCTAAAAAAAATAAATAAATAATATTTATAATTATTACAATAGATGAAAAAAGAACTAAATATTTTTGGTTTTCATGGCTGAAAAATTATCTTAGTAAATACAAAAAAAAAAAAAGTTCTTCTCACTATCAGAATAAAAAAAAAATTTCTTATTGTTTTCAACTGATGAAAAAAACTCATTCGATTGATAATCTTTATTCGAATTCTTATTATGTTAATTATTAGAATTGTTTATATAGATACAAATCTTAAAAGAAATATATATCATAAAAGTTTTTTTTTTTTTTGTCTCGACTTATAATCAGAAAAAAAATGAATTAAGAAATATTAGTATGAAATTTTATCTCAAAAATAATAATCTCATAATTCTTGTAATATTCTGCAAGTTTAAGCAAAGAAATATGATATGACAAAACTAGTGGTTTCTCTCAAAAGATATAAACCAATGCGGCTTTCTTTTTTTTATCTACGCGTACACAATATCTTCAGAAGAAATTATGTGTCTTTGCTGAAACATATAGAAATATAATAAAGACATTGAAAATCTATCTTCAGGTTATAATTAAGATTAAAACTTCCTGATTTAATTTTCCTTGTAATATTCTACAAGAGGCGAAATATTCATTAAAATAGTCATGACTAAAAAAAGTAAATGCTAATGGCATATTATCTTTTAACACTTTTATCTTCATAAATAGATCTTAGTTATTAGGTAAATATGATCTTGAATAAAGATTATCAGTTGAAGGAGTTCTCTTATGAAATAATTTCAAGCAAGCTTAATTGGAATTTGTATGTATTAGCAGCAGGAGCAAAAGTAATAGCTAGTGTATGTGTGTGTGTTTTTTTTTAGTAGTTCTTTGTATACCTGAACTAAATTTGTTGTTGTTTTCTTTTTATCCATTATACTAAACTTACTGAATAACGGGAGGATTTTTTTTTAAAAGAAATGTATAATCAGGAAATAAATCGAAAATATATTATGTATTTTTTTTTTGTATCTTACCTTGCATAGGTAGTAAGATTTGTACAAAATTGATTCCATCTTAAAAAAAAATCAAATGTAAATAAATACACAAAAATTCAAATTACAAGAAAAAAATAAAATAAAACTTACAATCCAACTTTATATTCAGACATTTTTTCTGATGTTAATAATTGTATTGATGTCATATTTAATGGTTGTTCACTTTGCATATGTTCATCATCAACATGTGTCATAAATTGTTGTGGTGTAAATACTTGATCACAACGAAAACAATGTATACAACGATAATCAGGTTCATTAAACCATGTTGGAAATAATTGTCCCATTGTATCAATTGTTTTATTTGTATAAATTTTTGTATGTCGTACAACAAGTTTAGGTAATTTATCCATATCACAATAACCACGTTCAGCAATAGCACGTTGTAAATCAATACTACGTGCACGAATATTAGGTAATGGTAATTCATGTGGTGTATTTGGTGGACTTATTAATATTGAAGAATTTTGTGCAACAATAGGTGTTGTTGATGGTGCTCGTGATTGTACTGGTGTTGGACGACGTGGTTGAAGATAAGGTTCAGTTTTACGTACTGCCATTCCATTCATTGGTGTTGTTGATGGTGGTGGTGGCGGTGGTGGTGGATATGGATAACGCATAGAAGGATTTGTTGTTGAAGGAGATGTTGATGGCCAATGTGATGATGATGATGATGAAAATGCGGAAGATTGTGGTGGTGCTGGTGGAACAAAATATGATTTTGGTGATGGATAAGATGTATATGGTGTTGTTGGTATAGAATCAATACGACGTTGTTTTCTATTCATAGATATTGATGAATTTTGAATATCTGGTGTTTGTGATGGATCACGTTTTAATGTTTGTGGTATCGATGTTGGAACTGTATATTGTCGATAGATAAATCTTTCATTTGATGTTAATTTATCTGTTGAATGTTGTGATTGTAAATTTGATGATGATTGAAAACAACAAGGTAAACGACATGGTACTGATGATGATGATGATGGTGGTGATGTTTGCATTTTAATTGATGCTTGTTGTTCAGGTGTTAATTGATGATAATAATTTGGTTTTCGAACAATAGGCATAACAACAGATGGTGGTAAATTATGATTATTATTTGTTGATAATGATGATGATGGTAATGTAACTGAAT